CTGCACTTCGGTCGGTTTTCTCCTCCGTGTGTGAGTCGGGACCCTGAGAGCAAACACAGAGCTGCCTGCTGCCTGCTTCGGGAAGAGGTAAGACCCCGAGGCTGTCTGACCGCTGCAGAACTTTGCTCTGAAATCTCAAACTTTAAACTTCCGTAAGTGTCGGAGCAGATTTCTGAACAGCTGAAACAACTGAAGGTGGGGCGTGAACAAACATTACCCCACTTTTAAATCGGCTCATAGTACACCCGAAAAATAGCTTTTCATTGATTAGAATCTGAACTTTAACACGTGTTTGAGTTTCATTTTCAGTCTTCTGTCCTTTTGTTGTTCGCCTTGTAATCGGAAGGTTTCCGGTTCGAGCCCCGGCTTGGACAGTCTCGGTCGTTGCGTGCTTGGGCTACTGGTGGTGGTCAGAGGGCCCGGTGGTGCCAGCCTCGCCCCAGGGTGGCTACAGTGTAGCTGCCATCACCAGTGTGTGGATGTGTAAAGCGTACACATACAGGCCATCTGTTATCACGTCTCTGCTTATTCTCCTTTTAATCACTACAAAATCTCAGGGAACATCGAACTAGGTGAGTGCAGCCTCAGTCAAACACAGGCGCTTTCATTCACAGTGTTTTAACGGAGTTTTGTGGGTTGCCAGGTTTGTAAACCATTCCATTTGTTAAGCGTACATGAGCAGCTGTTTGTGATCCTGCAGAGCCGCCTCCTCTGTCAGAGCTGATCGTGTTACAGAGGAGAGGGAGCCACCCTCACATTTCCCATGTTATTGGACAGCCTGTGATGATGAGGTGAATGCTGCTATGAAAGCGCTGCAGGAAGCTGCTGACACCTCTGATACACGTAAAAGATGCTACAGGCTGAAACTGTCTTTACTCTTCAGCTCCACCTCCTCCACCCAGGGCTGGATTGGTGGTTTGGCACCCCTCCCCTATCTTCGCCGTGCGCACAGGCAGCCTGTAGAAAAAGTTCAGTGTGGAGAAGATGGAGCTGAAAATCTGAGAGAAAACAAGAAGAAAGTAAAAATAACAGCAGAATTAACGACAACCGTAGTAACAGGTAGTAAGCAGACCTCACAGCAGGCCGCGGCTGCACCAGCTGTGGAGACGTGAGGAAGAGACGAGGAAGATGAGACTAACGTGGTGAGACAACAGGTGGAGGGAAGCAGAGATTGAAGGATTCGGCTAAATGCAAGCAGCTCTGACCATGAGCTAAGACTCGACTAAGAACTGACCCTGATCAAACCCCGCTTTGATATTTATAACCGAACAAAATCAAATGAAGCTTCATCATCCTCCGAGCGTCGCTGTGATCTGTGTGATTGATGGGTGCGAATCCAAAACAAAAGACAACGATTTCAATTTGAACTTGATCACATGAAAAAGTTGACAGTAGAATTTCTCATTTAAAAAGCTTCGTGCTGCGTTATTAAAGCTGCCCGCGCGGCTCCTTCTTCAGACGGCTTCACCCGCGTGCGCGAGGTGGAGGAGAAATACCCTGGATTACACCAACAAAGGTAGATGCAAATACTGTAACATGAGGTCACGTGGTCGGGGTTGGTTTAAGCTGATTGGATGAAGCTGCGGGTGAAGGAGCAGCTTTCACCACAGTCACACCTGCAGCGCTTCCTGTTACCTGCTCGCCGGTTTCATGCTTCCTCTTTTATTGGCTGTGCCTGACCAGGACGCAGCCTCGTGCAGAGCGTTTAGAAATCTGCAGACTACAGAGTTCAACGCAGTTTGGACACATCTACCTGTGTTGGTCAAGGAAGTAGTTTCGTGAGGTCACTTCCTGTGACAGTCATGGGAACCGGAATGTGAGGTTTTGTGGTTTAACTCAGAGACACAGGACGCGAGGCCCTGAGCTGCTGTTTGCAGAAACACGCCCTGTGCTCGGCGGCTCCAGATCCACGCCTCCTCTGTGGGTCATCAGTGTTTGCACATTGACTTCGTTGTTTTCTTTGTGATTATTGATGATCGGCTGTTTCAGGTCGAGCTTGTTTTTCAGGTCATATGACACTCTGACTTTGAGCAAAGTGCTTGCAAATGTTATTGGGCGCACGATCCTGCGGGATTTGTGGAGCCTGCTGTGTCTGATTCAGTCACAAGTTCCTCTCAGACTCCGTTTCAGCTCTTATCTCAGCAGCGTGTGAATGTTTGAGCTGATATCCTGACGCCAGTGTGCTCAGACTCACTCACTGTGTGATGTGTTTGCTCTTCAGGGTTGTGGATTCAGCAGAGGACGAGGTTTCGTGTTTCTGGTCATAAACATGTCGCCAGAGTCTTTACAGACCTGGAATTTATGGAAATATGGAGATAAAATGAGTAAAAGGCAGGCAGCAGACTAACCCGGCAGGTGAACCTAAACCCCGGCAGGCCTCTTATTGGTGAAACCTTTGCACCACCCAGAGACTCGTGCTGTGCTGTGGAGGTGTCAGCCAGTCGTTTACAGAGACTTTGTTAGGGTCTGTGTTCAATAATCAATAACTGCCATCAGGCGGCTTGTATTGATTAGCTGTAGAAACAGGAGATGCTGACAGATGTCAGTAAAAAGCTGTCTTCCCTCAGAGTCGGTTCTTTTTTTCTTCATTTGAAATCAAACGTGATAAAAATTGTTTTTTAAGGTTATTCTCAGCTTTTCTCTTTTCCTGATACACTTCCTTCTTTCCTCTAATAAGCCCCGCCCTCTCTATGCCATCATCTGCAGTAATTCGCTGACATCATGTCTAAGAAGGCCGGAAACCGCGGGCCAGAGATGGAGGGGCTGTTGGAGGCATCGATCATCCGGATCCCTCCGCATCACTACATCCACGTCCTGGACCAGAACACCAACATCGCCCGAGTGGAGATCGGACCGCTCACCTACATCCGCCAGGACAACGAGAGGTCAGAGGAAGCCGCCCTCCGGCTTCAGCAGGAAGACCTCTGACATTCAGGCTTCCTCGGGAGGAGCTCAAAACTTCATAACATCACAGTCTTCTCCTTTTTTTCCCCCAGAGTGCTTTTCACTCCGGTGCGCATGGTCATGGTGCCTCCTCGTCACTATTGTGTGATCGCCAACCCCGTGGCCCGCGATGACGACAACCAGGTCCTGTTTGACCAATCTGGACAGGCCAAGCTGCGTCACGCCGACCTGGAGATCCGCCTGACCCAGGACCCGTTCCCCCTGTACCCCGGGGAGGAGATGCAACAGGTTTGTTCATTTATTTCACGGGAATTCAAACTTTATCAGGGAGACATAATGAAGATGAAAACATAAAGAAGTTATTAAAAAAGGATGAAAAGTCAGGCTGCAGGCTTCCAGAAACTGACCAATCAGAAGGAAGTGGGCGGTGCAGAGAATAAATCAGGCTTTTGAACTGAATCATGAACAGCTGAAAAAGTTCAATTTAACATTAAAGAAGAAGAAACTCTTTCACTGCGTGTTCTGTCGTGGAAGGAGGAGTCACTGAAGAGTTTCTTTGTTCTCGCTGATTCGAATGATGATTTTTGGCCTCCAGGACGTGACGCCGCTGCAGATCGTGTACCCCGACACGGCTCTGCGTCTGCAGGCTCTGCTGGACTTTGAGGTGGAGGGAGGAGAGAAGAGAGTAGCTGGAGACGAGTGGCTGTTCGAAGGACCCGGTGTGTACTGGTTTGACTGGTTGTCAGAACAAATACTTCATTGATTTGCATTTTCCTTTTAATCTGCGTCTCTGAAAGCACGGCACGAGCTGCAATTACGATATATATCTCTCGTCTGGTTTCAGGGACCTACATCCCCAGGAAGGAGGTGGCCGTGCTGGAGACCATCAAGGCCACGGTGATCAGGGAGAACCAGGCCATCAGGCTGAGAGCTCGCAAGGAGGGCAAGGACAGAACCGGAGTCAACAGAGTGACAGGTAACACTCACCTGTGAGCACCCCTGAACTGTTTGAAGCTCCGCCCCCAAATGTACCCAAGAAGTCAGTTCACAGAGAGAAAGATCAAACTAAACAACTTTTTTTTGCATCTTGCACATGTGGAACTTATTTGTTTCCCTTTTTTCTTCTCTTGGTGGTTTTGGATGCTCAGATTTTCCTGCATTTTGTAATGAATCAACTTCACTTTGGCGTCACATAAAACCTTCAATCAAAGCTGATTATGATTAAACAGTAAAAATGAAATGAATACAAGAAATGAGGTTGGCTCCGCCTATTTCAGCTCCATACTTTTATTATTATTACTTTTATTATTACTATTAGAATAGAATAGAATAGAATAGCCTCTTTATTATTATTCAGAACAAAACTTTGGGGCATTTACTCGCCATCAGACGATACATACAGGTATGAAAGAAATCTCTGATGTACAAAAGGATATCAGGGAAAACAGGGTGGCTTTGCATGATTGTAGTTCAAAATGATACTTAGTTCATCCTGTGTGTGAAATAAGCTGTTTAAGCTCCTCCTCCGTGAAACGTTGGGTTATGGTTCCCCTTTAAGCCCGAGGCTCACGGGGACTTCCTGTTTCCTCTGCAGATTCAGAAAAGATTCGTTTTATGTTCAAGTGTCACGAACTGTCTCACCTGTGTCTGTGGCTCAGGTGAGGAGTGGCTGGTCAGTAAGGTGGGCGCGTACCTTCCAGGCGCGCACGAAGAGGTGATTGACATCGTCAACGCTTTCATCCTCACTGACAAGGTAACCCCGCCCCTCATAGACGCCCTGCTCTTCACCTACACCTTCTCCCACACTGCAGCACTAAAGCCTGCACGGCCAGCACACACACACACACACACACACACACACACACACACACACACACACACACACA